CGATTTTTCTGTTAAATTCAGCTTGATATCCTTGTTATACAGTATATTAGCAGCAAAGTTGCACAGGATTCGAATCAGATCATAGGGAGAGTTTAGTATTATACCATGTATCAATTTCTTATCGGCTACTGAGAGCAATTTGACATGAAAATGAAATAACTTTTCGGTCCCGGCTTTCATGTTACAATTAAGTCAAGATAGAGGCTGCACAAGCATTTATAGTCAATGACTTAACTTCCAGATATATGTATTGTGACTATTTCGAGGTCCATCAACAAAATAGCTGTGCATGTTTAAAAAAATATTTATACATATTGGTGTTCCCAGTCGAATACACACCAATTGTTTATTTGCGTAAACAAACAAAGAAATCTTCATTTACATTTAAAGGTTCTTTCAAATACCCCCTCTATGGCAAATTTCCCTTTATCTGTCAAAGCACGAGTGCCAGTTCCTGCAAAATGACGCGTGAGTTCTGGCACATCTGGATATAATTTGAACATTTTTCTTACAAAATCAAACTTGTACCATTGACATGACCCTTCTTCCATCCCAGTCCTTTCGTTTTTAAAAGAGTCAAACACATAGACGGGTTTATTCTTGTCTACTGCCATTTGCACTGCCCACCCTGTTCCACCGTCAACCATCTTGTTCATGATAACTTTTCCAACAGCAAAAACAGCATCGGAATTTTTCACCTGATACCAGTTACGTTGAAGTAAACTGTCGACAAAAGTCTTGCCCGTGGGAAACTTTCTGTGCAGTGACTTGTTGGCTTTAAGCAAATGCTCATTAGCATCTTTTAGTTCTTTTTTATTCAAAACTTTTCTGTAAGGATTGCTTGTAGAGTGACCTGAGAATGAATACACAACTGTCTTGACATTATACCTTTCACTCGTTTTTTGCCAATATATATCACTCCCGGTGGCACCACCAGAATGGTTGGTATACAAAGCTGGAGTTCGATGCTGATTTAAAGTAGTTTGACTCAATTCTAATCTGACTGGAGATGACCCTGGTTCTTCTGCAGCTCTAAGTAGTTTACAGTAATTGACAAATTCACCCCCTAAACTAAACATCTTTCTTTTTCTTGTCACCAACAGCAAAGAAAATGTTAACAAAGCCAGAGTATATGACTATTCCAATGTCAATCAGGCAATTAACTGTGCATACATGAAAAGTAAAAAGATATACACATATTTGTGTCAGGCACGCACGAAGGCAACTTGCGTCTCTCCCGGAAATACACTACTTCTCAAACGAATCTCGTCTGGGCAATCTTGGGTTAAATCGAGCAGTAGATAACCGTTTGGTTTTTCTGTTGCCTGTTTGAACGCGCCAAGAAAGCCGCTTGCTTCCGTACATTTGTGTGGCTAAGGTTCGTACTTGGAGAATATCTCTTGGGTTTTTAAAAAGCACGATATAGTGGCTATTCAAAGAGATTGTTCTGGCTTGCTTTTCCTTTGGAAATAATGTTTGCATTATAAATATTACGCCGACGTTCAAATGATGAGAGCCTTTGGTAAACAAATCGCGTATTCTAATGTCACCCCCCGCTTCTAAAGTCATCAAAAATGACCAGATTGCTTAGATTTGCATCAAAAAAGTGCTCAGGTTGAAAGTCAACAGGTATGCCTTTTACAAATTTTATGTTGTTAACGATGTCTTCCATTTCAGCAAAAACGGGTTGCCAGATCGAATAGAAATAGAATATTTTATCAGGCGGCGGAGATACCATTTCACCGGCGTTTAGCAAAAGACGTTTCACCCAAGTAGTTTTCCCGCATTTTGTCGGTCCAGAAACAATCATCGTACTAGGCGATTTAAACCTCACGTCACCCATGGTGATTACTGATATTTGCAAAGCACAACACGACACTTTATAATAGTTTTCTATCACGTGTTTGTTCTCACCTTTGTTTTTTAGCGCTCTGTTCAGAAGACTCAGCCAGCTCACCATCGCTTATAGTTTGGTGTTCAAAGCCTTGCCGTCTTTCGTATTCTTCTAAATGTGCAACCATTTCACTGTCAGAAATACAGCTCTGCCATAGTTCTGACTGATCCATGTCTACACAGTTGCCTACTGGAGTCCCTTACATCTCGGACTATTTATTATATACAGCGAAACAAAATGAGTCGGCATTTTCTCCATCTTAGTGTGACTTATCAAAACAGAATATTCTAATTTCGTGACTAAGACTTTTCCAGAAGAAAAAAAATTATGTAATAAAATGTTCCAGGCGTGAATATCAGATTAGAGAGAGAATATCCCAAAACCGGTGAAATCCGGCCATGATAGGAAAATTCCAGTTATATCTTAATACCATGTAACAGAATGTGTCTGATGGATTACAAAAGTAGCTAATCAAATAGATATTATATCACAGAATGTTCCAGTTCCGTGACTCAGCGATTTTCTTCCTGTATATATAGGCCAAAAAACCCACAGATGTGCATAGACTGATCCGAAAGCCATGGCCACATTTCTACCCTTCGGTGCATCATTTTGTGCAACAGTCTGCCATAACCGACATGGCGAGTTACTGGTGGTGTTGACGGACAAGGCGAAATGCAAAATACGATTTAGCTCGATCGTATGGGGCCAGTTCAAAACACACGCAGCAGAACTTGAAGAGGCCTTGCTGAAAGAGCAAGTTTCAACAATTCCTTTCTGCGATTGCTATAACTTGTCTTCAAATGGTTCCGGAGCCCCGATTAAGATTAGCTACGCGCTGGGTGATGCCACCCCCACGGTCATTGAAATGGCGTATGCAGATTGGTCGGCGTTTATGCAACTGTTCCGAGAATTCGATGCAAACTTAGATAAGAAGAAAGAAAAAGATGATGCCTCGACGAGCACTTCCGTCATTCGCCTGAAAATAGTGCAACTGCGTAGTCAAAATTGTAATGGCTGCGAGATCGAACACCCTAGCCAGCGCCAACATGCCTGCCTTGAACCGGTGTGGTCGATTTGAGTGTATCACTTTATTGATGATGCATTTCAGCATATCCAAAACAGCGTCATACTGCGAGCATACGAGCTGTATTGTTCTACTAAAGGGGTAGCAGACGATCCATACATTTTCGCCATTATTGAGCGCGTTGCTCAAAACCGCGAACAACTTGTACATGAAGTGATTGCAGCAGCTGATGGCTTCCAATGTGCTGAAGACACCTTGAAAAATTGCTACAATCATATCTATGAACTGTAAAGTACATGTATTTAATTGTCATATTCAATGCATTATTCAGACTGTTAAATCATCCATATATATATATATACTTTAGTGAACCAATATGGTTTGGACATTCATATTATATTAATAAAGTCATATAAGACACGGAGTATAACAATGAATCAACAATATCATACGTTGCTCGCAACGCCTCACCAACGACTTTGATAAATAAAAAAGAAACACTTTTTATGATAAATGTTTGTGTTGCTTACTTTACCGCGTCACAATACAAACCTTTGATAACCAGGGTAATGTTTCCCCATGCCTAACTGATATACAGTGCTTGTCAAATATTTGATAATGCTTAACACATGCTAGGTCTCGCGCTTGCAAATCCCCTATTCTGATAAGAACGCAGGCACTCTGTGCGGGCAACTAGGTCAGCTCGCGCATGCAAATCCCCTATTCTGATAAGACCGCAGACACCCTGTGCGGTCAGCTTGAGTGCGTGGCTGCTTACACCTGAATACACCTCATTTTGTACCTCTTTCTTGTGCCATATAGTTGCATTGAAATTTTCAGAAAGAGTTGGTTGAACGGTGCATAACATACTACTGAGAGTTATTGAAAATCACGAGACACAGCACGTGTGGGTTTGGGGTTTAACAGGCTTTTTACAACAGTAGAGTGATGAGTAATTAGAATGAGTAAACAGCGGATAAACTCCATGCAGTATAAGACAAACACGGTGTTGTATGTTGGTGCTTTTTAACGGACAACCATCGCTATTGACAGTCGGCATTCCTTGGTTCTTACGGTCATTATTTAAGGTAAGCTCTTGGGTATTTCCATCTGCATTGTTTTTTAATAATTTGGTGTCGTTATATATAAGATTTTAAAAGCCCTTCCAACAATTTTAAGCCTCAGTTAGTGGAAAGTATCGGGGTCAGTGTATGTGCATGTCGCCAATACAGGTAATGGAAAACGGGCCTCGAATCGTTCCTAGATGTATCATACTACAATTCTTGTCACGGCTGCCCATTTCTGAAATAACCCGAAGAAGTAGCATCCACTTTCATTTTTCGTTTATTAACAAGCAGCTTGCTCGAAGCATAATGGTAACAGATAAAGAGAAAACCACATTGCTTTCACTTTCAGAACGAAATGGGAGCAGAGCAAAGTAACGAAACCTACATGTCCACGTGGTCTGACGAGAGCGGTGACCAGTACTGGGCAGACTTCGAGTCGAAGCCGTTTTCATCAGGCGCGTTTCGCCATGCTTTTAAGGGACACCTGCATGGCAGGGGCCCTCGTGGCGGGGACCAATGTGTAGTCAAAGTATTCAAGAGGGAATACGCAAAGCACATCACAGATTGGACTGTTGATGTGGCCACTTCGAAAAAAGCCCAGTCTCTGGCCACAAAGTTCAATGAGGCTGTTCCCTCCACAAGGTCACTAAAATTTATGACCCCGATGGTCGCCAAAATGGAGAAGAGGGCGGGCTTTAAGTTACTCTGGATTTTCGACATTCCTGACGAAGATTCAGCTAAAATAGTTTTTCCAAACGAATACGTATGCATGGAGCCTTTTTTGACTGGAACGTATCAGAAGTTTAACGCAAATAATGGTTGGGTCAACCCTAACATGAATGTATCCCTAATCCCTGCTTTTTCTCACTGGACGTGGGCTCACAGCGGTGGGAAATACCTAGTCTGCGACATTCAAGGGGTTCGGGATGACGACGAGTATCTCCTAACGGACCCTGCGATTCATTCAGACGAGGCAGGAACCTACGGCAACGCTGATCTTGGGCCTGAGGGCATGGAGGCGTTCTTTTCTACCCACAAATGCACGGAATTCTGCAAGAACCTCCACAAACCGCGTAACATACGCCGCCCTCGCCGCATACGCCCAAGTCCTGGCACAACATATGGGTTTACATTGTAATTTAGCCAGGTATACTATATGTACTGTTTATAAAATGACCATCTTCAACACCAGGGGTGTGCTGGCAAAGATCATCAGTTTTAGCTTTTCATCTTGTACTCTCTGAACGGGGTTTCTGGGAAATGGAGACTTGTAAACTAGTGAAAATGATAATAAAAATGGACAACCCCTTAGACGTAGACGGCGAGACCTGTGGTTTATTCACTGTAGTAGGACATTGAAAACAATCGAGTGTCTTCATAATTTCACCTTTCTTACAGATACATGTATGTAATGGTTAATGTCCATAAAGGACCCCATCTATGATAATTGAGTAAGTTGCCGATGGTTAAAGCGTGGGAGTTGCAGGTTGTCTCTTGACACATGAGAATTTTTAGCCGGCGCCTGTACGCGTCGGGGAAAACGCCGAGTTACTGCTCATGACCTCACGAAGTTTTACTTTATTTTTTATTTTCATCAAGTTTGCTCGACTATATAGTTGCCACTCGAAAATGACTCTTTATAAGGAATTGATATGATGTTTTCAATATATTCGTTAGTAGGCCTACTAGTAGACTTTCTTAGTTGAAATATAAAATGTGTTCAGTTGAAATGAAATGTGCATAATTATTTGAGGATGAAATGTTGAAATAGATTCAGATAAGGATTTGTTGTAAATTGGCAGAGAAAAGCGAGCTGCACAATATTGTGTATTGAATATTAAATACGTGACTTATGAAAAATATATCTTTATTCAGCCTGTCGGTATTATGATTATTAGTTATGGATATTTAACTATACAGTTATTGGTATAGGAACAGTGTACTTAACTTTTGTAAAGATAAAGACGTTGCATTAATTCCACATTGTGTAGTCATGTCGGAGCCCATAGATTAGTTAATTCGTTAATGGAAATTGATACACTAAAATTCAGTACAGTTCTAAATTAAAGTTAAAGTCATTTTAGACGGTTCACAACAGGGTGCAAACATAATAGAAAATGTATGGAATGATACGTCAAAACTTTTGACAAATGCCGTATAACCAGCAGAGGAATTCTGTTATATTCAGTGTTTCATGCTTGGGCCAGCATAAGCCCTGAACCCATCAGACAATTATATGAATCCTTGTCTCGCAGACTGGCAGCTAGTATTAGGTCACGTTGCTATGCCAGTAAGTACTAATTTTGGACTTGAAATTGCATATCTTTGTAGAATGTATATTTTGTTGTTATTTATTTTATTTTTTATTTTTTTGTGAAATTTGATGTTAATAAAATGATATCAGGAGCATATCATTCCACCGTCATTTATCTTCCCGAAAGTATTGGTTCAGTAGGGGTGACACGTCTATTGTCCGGTGTGTGTAGATAAGTATTCAAATAGTTTTACCTCTTGCGTGAGTCATGTAACAATAACAAAGTATTATTTTTAATGAAAATAAAGGAAACTTCCCGTATTTGTTGAACCCAAACACGTCTTGATGTCTTTCTCTGGCCCACGTGTCACTCATATAAGAAATCTAGCTTCTAATTTCAGAATCATTCGTAGTAAAGTAAGACGTAAAATATGTTTCTGAAGAAGAGCTGTTTTGTAAATATATTTCGATTCGAATGAGCTTTAAAAGTTAGAAATGAGAATTTATTAGATTAAGATCGGTTTAGAACAAAGTGATCCTTCTTCTTAGGCATGTGAAAGGAAGGAGTACCATAGATATACTGAGTGCCCGCGTTTTGATAGTTACTCTAACAAGAAATTAGAACATGTGGTAAGTGATTTGAATTAAAATTAAACAACACATCAATTTCTCCTCGTTTATTTGACTCTCATAAATTTTATTCGATATACAATGAAGTAAAAAGCGTCAAAATGTAAGCGATATAGATACCAAAATTGATAAGATCTCTTACATGCAGAGCAACACGATAGCAAACAAAATATGGATAATAATCTATGCTGCGGATGTGAGATATTTGGAATAGGATGCACAATTAAACTTTACGTCACCCCCTCCCAAATATGAAAGGTTCAGATAAAGATACATCTTCTGTCTGTTGATTTAGCATTTTAGGGACCATCTATTATAATTATGTGTTATTGAAGTATGAATTCTATTATATGTGTTATTGAAGTATGAATTTCAAACAACGTACATTTATGAGGGCTTGAAAGTAGAATGCGTTAGCGGTGACAAGTGTCACAATACGTTCAGACAGCGGTCGCAATCAGTTGGCTCTGTTAGGTGCAAATAGGTCGGCAGCAGGTCACATGATCATTTTGTGTGGAAATTCCAAGATGTGCCAGACTGATTTTCGAAATGATATAGATATAAATCTGACAAATATTTGAATTGTGGTCGGGCGAATTTAAACCGGTGATTGCTGGCGAAAATTGACTTTATATATATATTTAATAATATGAATTAAGAATTTGAAGGTGAACAAATAATATATAAAAATGGAAGCATTGTTTCTCCTTGAACTGTATAGGGACTACATATTTTCAATCGTTGCTTTAATTTTTTTTTTTTATAAATCAAAACGAAATAAGTAAAACAACTGAAAACTACATACTGTTTAAAGACTTGCTTATGCATGTTTATTCAGAAAAATAAAGGAATGGCTTATAAATGATATTTTGTTTATCAAACATAAAAAAGAAATTTAAGACAGCATGGAAATAGCACAAACGCACATTTATCAACACGACAAATTTAGAAATAAAACTTAGAGACTCTAATCAGGCAGTCACTTAAAGAGATTTGTTTTAAAATAGCATTCAGCTGGAGGTCTGTCTTATACTTATCTAGTACATGTACTTAGAAATGAGAATGATTTGCACTTGAATAAATGTGGGGAGATTAGAAAATTATTATCTAAATTTTTTCTTAATCGATGCTGGTGATTAACGGGTGCGAAATCAACTGCACGTGCATGCAGAACTGCATTTGAACCAAGAACTCAAATAAAATAACAATAATCAAATAATAAATGGTTGGATGAACTGCACAGAAGAGAAATTGAGTGGTACTGGTTTTAGGGTCTCTAGATATTCTGTTTTACACATGTGGATTCATGGCAGCCCCAGCGAAGTAAACACAAATGTACGCAGTTACAGTTAGTCTGATTGATTAACGTGGTCACCATTTGCCATTACTTTCAGTAAAAAAAAAATAAATATGTAATGTTTCTTTAATCACATGATCCCGCATTTCGCGGTGCGTCCGATACGGGCAGGCCGGGAGGCACCTCTGCTGAGCAAAGAGCGCATCGTTTGCGGGGAACTGAGGAGCGCGAGCATCTGGCGCAGCGCAAGTGGCGCGCGCCAATTGCGTACCGTGTGCGGGGTGCTTTACGTCTGAGGGTTTCCCGCCATGTTATTTTGGTCTCGAATGAACGCAAGAATCCGCGTGACACCTAAACGTCATTGGCAACGGATGTACTTGTCGACCGTGAAGAAAGGCATCGAAAGCCCAAGTGACAAGCACAGATTTCAGTTTTACTACAATAACAGTCGTTTTAATGGGAAAATGCAATAGAATACAATGTATTTCTTGCGGAATGTTGAATCTCAAAGGAAGAGTTATTATTGCTTTAATTAGCATCTCCAAATTCGAGAAGACGTTAGCCGGTAAAATGAATATATATATATATATATATATATATATATAGTTCACAAAAATGTTGATGTCAACTTTAATAAAAGCATATTAAAAGCACCCAGGGTGCGTTTTTCTGTGTCACAAATGCGTGTGTGGTGCCATATTGCACCAACAGCCGATATTGAGAGTAAAAAATATTAACTATCATCCCAAAAATTGCACATATTTTAGCAAGTATCACAAATTTATACATAAAGTATACAGCAGTGTTGATGTCATCTTTATTTAAAAGGTGCATAAAAAATACCAGCCTTAAAGAAATGTCAGCGAGCCTAAGAAATCGGAGAGAAATTGCGTCATTTTTATTCAAAACACAATTGAAGGTTTCATTATACTGCCGCATCTCAGGCTAATATGTCACACAGAGAGAAATTTTTGACACTAGAAATATTTTCCTATATATGTATCGAATCATAGCTAAAAACAAGTATACTACACTACAATAGAGTCTTTTCCACGGTCACGTGACTTCCGCTAAATTATCCGTGGAAACGCGAGATTTTGCGGGATTTGAAGTTTCAGGGGGAAAGTGTGGAGTGTACACGACGGACGCCATATCAATTCAATCTGAATTTTCAAAGTTTCGTAACATGTTAACACCTGATTTTTTTCGAAAACACATTCATGGGAGCAGTTGGAATAGAAATTTAGCAGAAGTGCCTGATGACTTTTCAATGAAAGAACTAAAAACGTACCTCATCGACAGCAAAGATAGGACATTCGGTACTTTTGTAGTATACCCCCCACCCTGTAACTTCCTTAAACCTTCATTTTTCAAACATTTTTTTACAGTGTCTTTTGCACCTATGTCAAAGCTGTTGAAATAAAATGTTTTTGTAATTACCTGTGGTCTTTTTTATTAGTTTTAATCACGTTTAATCCACCCCATTGAAATACAATGTGAAAATTTACAATGTAACCGCAGCTTGCTGCGTTTTTGTTGGCTAACTCTACCTTATTTTATGTGAACATAGGATTGATACATTGTATACTT